CTAAATTCGTATTTGATAATCATCGGCAGATTTTTCAAATAACATGTGCTATGGCCATACTAATCTGCCCACCTATACGTACCATACTGATCTGCAAAATACTTCCAAATACCACGATAAAGATGCATGAAAATTATGTAAAATACCGATAAATAAAATTTACTAACCAAAAATGGATATAAGCATATTTAAAGTTTTATACGTATGTCTATATTCTTTTTAATTAGCTTTTATATGCAAAAAGGTTATATCGGTATGACCAAGCATCATTTTACGTATAAGGATTTATTTGTGACATGTGATGTAAATAATTTCATAATGCACGTACGTAATTATATTTTTCACTATGTAAAATCGGGTACGGCAAATTGGTTTATCCTATCGCTATTAACGTCGCTAAATTCAGTATTTAGATGCATAAAACATGCTTTTAATTTTTAGTATGACAAAATGCCGTATTTAGGACTAACAATCAGAAAGCATAAGCATTTATTTATAAACAATCACGACTTCGAACATAAACTTAGCGTTAGATGCAAAATCTATGCACTAAGGCATGCATTTAGTACAACAAAACGCTATATTTAGGACTAATAATCAGATAATACGTATGATGTATTTATTCATAGGTTAACGATCTTGAATTCAAAGAATAAGCTTCTGAATTACTTATATAAGATTTATTAATAGGGTCTTCTAATCCTTTCGTGAGACAGTAGATTAATGAAAAAAATGAAAATTTGAAAAAAAGACAGGTTAAATATCGAAACCTTGGAAGTAATAGTAATAATGAATGTTACCTATAATACTCGCATAAGTTTTATCTTTAACTCTGACTATAATTTTAATTAAAATAAATAATAACGAGGGATACACACGAAGACAGTTATTAGGATTATTATAGTTTTCTAAATTTCTCCAAATGCAGCTTGTACGGACTAAACTCCTGACTGCGTGTATTTAGAGAACAATAAAAAAAAAGCTTGCATTGAACTTATGTCAGAGTATGAAATTACATTTAAAAATTTAGCCAATTTAGAAGTTTATGGCGCAAATACCAATATAACCAAATTTAGCAGGGAACAAGGAACGAATGACAATAGCATACAGGGCAGCACGACAGTAGCCCTTCAAGAAGCAAATCAATTTTGCATCCTGCTCTACCTTCCCTAAGTAGAATTCTGTCATTTTTGTGGCAGCTTAAACGTCTCGTCTCTTTACGACCGGCCTGCGCTATGCAGGAAGGAAACCACCGGTCAAGATCATGTGACCATAAAGCTTCTGGTTAACAGCCCGCTAGCATCTGTGCGGACGAGAAACCACCGGCTAATATCAATCACTAATGTATGCTATATATATCTTTCAATTATACATCAAGCGCACTGATGTATGCTATATATCTCTTCAATAATACACCAAACGAACTGATGTATACTATATATCTCTAATAAAATTTGAACATCCAGTACTATTGACGTTGGAATCTGTCCAATAATTATAACACATGCGTGCAGTTCTTTTCGAAATGATTATCAATTCATCTGGGCCGTAAAAAATTCGAAAAAGTAAAAAATTACAGCTTACAATATATTAAAATTATTTTTGCTAACATCTTAGCACTAAAATATAGTAAGTCTAATTAACAGCTACGACTATTAGTTCAGCTCCATATGAGCGATACAAGTTCAGCGTTGCACTTCAAGAACATGAAAACGAGCAAGAGAGTATATACAACGCATTGTGATACAGTATCTTGCATTTTCAGCTTAGGTGCTATAATCATTTTGTAATATTAGAATAACACAGATCTAAATATGGCAAACCAGGCATAAATCTGGTACCCAATTTATTCCTGGTTTGCCATCTTTCGACCTGTGTAAGTCGGCCTTAAACTTTTTAGGAGGGTTAGTTGGAATATATAGTTTCCTGGTATAGTTATCGATATAGTCCTTAGTTCGATAGATCCAGATTCGGACTCATGGAAGGATGATGTCTTCGAGTAGATCATGAGATCATGACACTTGCGTATGTATATAAATACTAGTTCTCCATCCCAATGTTAAAGTAAGCGTTATATGCCCTTTGACTCTTCTTATTAAAGAGAATTCTCATGACTTGTCCCTATCCATAAATTATTGCCTGTATACCCTTTGACATGAATACTTAATAATAATAGAAGTCCTGGGATTTATCCCGATTTCGAGCCTTTCCAACAGAAATGTAACCATGACTCAAAAGCAAAAATACCCTCAGCTCATCATTGGCTAGTAAATTTGATAATAGAGTACTGTACGCGCGTACGTACAAAAAACATCATTTATTGTACTAAAAATACTGTAATGCTAAAATAGTGCTAAATATAAATCTGGATTCAGCTACCTATGTACTACTTCTAGCCCCAATTTTTTTAATTTTATCATTCTCAATGACAACTTGTTTGGAAAATAATTAAAGTTTCGTTGGCGTTCTATTTCTAAATTATGGCACACGCACAATTATTAAAGTCGATAATTATGTATTCTCTCTGTACTTTTAAGGACATATATCCATATGTCACACACTACTAAACGCGTTCGCAAACAATACTCGTCAAATATCTGCATGTAAAGCATTAAAGTTGTGAGATAGAGTAAAAGAATTTTAGAATTTTACATGCTGTGTTTAATGTACATACATGTGATAGGAAAAACATGTTTAGGCCTCATGAGAAATAAAATTAAAATGGAAATGATAACCGCTTAGCAAAATCTGATTTCATACAGTATGTGAAAATAGTTTCGTCAATTACAATTAGTTTCGTCAATCGTCAGTAGCTCCATCAATGGCAAAGCTTTGCAATTGCAAAAATAATATTATTGCTAAGAACCGGGCCTCTATGATCTGTAGTTCCGGGTCATTGACATAGAGTAGTTTCACAGATCAGTATAGTATATGCTGATTTTCAAATCTAAAAGGTTATTTGACTATTAGCTAAAAGTAGAAACTGATGAATTTATGATCATCTGATCTAAAAATAGATGTGGACAAGATAACACACAAAATCTGATCTATCTAGAGATGGGCAAAATGCGCATTTTGCCCATCTATGGGTCTATTACTTCGCTGTAGATCCACTACGCTCCGGCAATGAGCTTAGTTTACAGATCGGTATAGTATATTTTGAAAATTTGGCCTATGGTATACTTATCTGCTCACCTATACCATACTGATCTTATAATTTCTGTTTAGCACGAACGTTTGTAATTGAAATAGTGATAACAATAGCGATTATAGAATAACATATTTTTACGATGCATGAAGATTAATTTTTCGTTTTGTATAACCTGATTGACTCGTTTTTTTTTCAATTTTTATTTTTTAAGCTCAACTGTGCAAATTATTCTTTTTTCGTTCTTTTTTGCCATTGCAATTTTATCTGGTGTCACATGATGGAAACTTTAATTTTCTGGAAATATCCAACAGGATTGTCCCAATTTTCACCATGTAATGTAAACCGAAATTTTATATTTGCGTAACCTTATTAACGGAGATCAAAAATTCTTCTTCATTAGGATTAATATCTTTTGCCCAAACATACGTAAATAATAGAAATTTCAAATTATAAATAGGAAATGCACATTATCTTGTAGTCAGAAAAAATGTGATAGAAATGCATTATCTTGCATGAATTAAAATTATCTTATATTTATATTGCATCTATTATTATATAAATTACTGTGTTTTAGACCTTGCGTTTTTCTGTAATTAAGCCTATATTTTTCTGATAGACCTTTTATCTTGAATCAAGCTTATATTATTTTGATAAATTTTTTATCTGATATGAATCGCGAACTCTATGAAGAAAAGCATATTGATGAAAGAAAATATACTCTTATTAAATTAAATAAAAGTGTTGAGAAATGGAAGCATCTTCGGGCATCTTCTTTCCAACGTCTAGTCGTTGCTGCGGCTATTTGTATATTCTCACTTGGAATTGGATGCTATCTTTATATTTCAGATAAAGATAGCATAAAGTCATCAATGAAAAGGATTGTTTCAACTTCAGTTTTTGGAGCAGGAAGCACAGGAATTCTTGTCAAAAGCCTAACGTCGCTTAAAACCCTTTTTACTAAAAAAAAGGATGAAAAGATTGAAAAGAATAATAAAGAAAACGAGATATTTGATGATGCACTCGTTAAAAAGTCAACAAATAATTGTCCAAGAAAATTAGATTCTCATGAATCTTCACCCTTATTATTTGTAAAGGCTCTTATTGAGCATATGCATATTATGATGGTTTGGCGTACTATTTGGATTTCTTTAATGTCATGTACATTTATTATATTATCTATCGTCGCTATTTTTTTAATTATTTATAGTCCTGAAGTATCTATATTTCATGAAATGACAATTATTCTCATCGGTTTTTCTTGCTTTTGTCTAATGGAGATAATTACTTTTACTATTTGTATTACATATATTACCCCTAAGTTGGAAGAAGTGGACAAAAGCGACATGAATAAAACAGATATTGAAATAAATGAGGATATGCCCGATTTGGTTGATGATATAATAAAATTTATACTGTTACGCGCAAACAACGATTATCATTATTATCATATTATAAAGAATGAATATCTTATAGGCATTTTGGTAATTATAAAGCTATTGGCACGTTATGCAACTATATTGCACGACGAATTTGAGAGTAAAAGCAATTCTAATAATAAAGGCAATTCGATTAATACTGAAGCGACCAACAAAATAGATAGTGAAAGCAAATCAGATTATTTAAGTTGTGTGCGCGCTTTACTCGGAAGTATAAATGCTTGTATGGATGCAATTTTTCAAGAAGACGAAAGACATATAAGGAAGGAGCTAAAAAGATTGGATTTACTTAAACCTAATTTGGATTCAAAATTTTGTATATCTTATCTCGGTAAACTCGATAAAGAAAATTATATTAAGAAGAGTATTGATAAATATTTTGCGGGAAGGCCTGAGGCTAAGAAGACTTATAAAAGTATAGTTATTAGAAAAGATGATTTAAAAAAAATTTTAA